AGCATTTTACCAAATTCGCGCCACGACGTACAAGATTATTGGACATGCAAAAAGAAACGCTGTTTGATAAATGTTAGTAGTTTAAATTCTTTCTTTGCATATTATTGTATGGTGAAAATAAATTCAGATGAATACACTAGTTTGTGGCAATGTATAACGATAAATGTGCAAATAATTTTCCTAATTAATAAATATTCCTGCTTTCGAATTTGCGAAGCTTGCCGTGGCTACCGAAAACAGAATACTTAGTAATTAAGCTTTATATGGAATGGTTGGAATTACCGATGCTTTGTAGTACTTGCCGTAGTCAGTTTCGTAATGAGTGGTAGTGACACATGTGCCGTAAGGCGCTGGTTGACGATAAACACGTGTCTGTAAGAAACAATGTTACGTTTAGTTTACTGTAACCTTAAATCGTGATTGAATGAATACCAACAATACGAGTATGAAATTAACATGAGATTGTGTAATACATTAGTAATATCAAAACTAAATTATGCGCGCGAAACATAAAATGTGAAATATCCAATCCAATAGGCAGACGCAGACAATATCAGAATCAACAAGCAAATTTACAATGCCGGAAAAAACAAAAGAGACAAGCACAACACAGTCAATTCAGGAAAAAACATGCATCTCCTGAAAACCAACAAAGAGGTTGGGTATTTCGAAACGAGTGAGAACGCCCGTCTCGTTGCAGCACCTGTCACACACCTCAAAGGAATAAGCCCGATGAAAAGTTATTTAGAAAACATTTCTCCAACCAACAAACTTACCCGGCTCTAACCTAACTTCAATAAGTAAGGAAAACAGCCCATTGAAACTACCACGACAACAAACAGTAGTTCCGAATTCGGTTTTCCAAAATCGTCACTAAAATAAATTACTAAACATCTTAAATAGTTCTAATCAACAACATTTCATTTCTATTTCACATGTGTGCGTATGCGATATAACAGTTAGCTGTCAACTGTGAAGTGTTTTGGTTAATGGTGTGCATGCATCTGCGTCCTTCATTTTGCGCCTTCAGTTGATGCATCTTGTTCCAAAGGAACTCCAAAATATACTTCGAAACCATCTACATTTTCTCACTACGTATACAGAAACTACTCTTGACAAAGTGGTTATTGCCTGTGTTTATATGACGCAATATAACAAGTATTGTCGTGCAATAACTTTAGCAATGGCTATGCTTCTAAATTTATTCACACAAAACAGAAAACGCTATATGGGTAGGTCAAAGTCGTGCCAATACGTGTGTTTATACCTCTTTTATTCCAATTGACGTAATTTTACCGGGCTCGATGGTAATTCCCTCGGACCATGGCATGGCTGTCATATATGGCGGATGAATCACCACTCTGGCACCAGAATCACGACCATACACACTGATGTATTCCTCTTGCTCGGTGAACAGTGTCAACTTTAACCCTGTGAATTGAATATGCAAATGTAGCATGTACTGCGATGGAAAACAGATGTCTCATTCATATCAGAAGCTGTGAATGTCAGGGGCAAAAATACAACGGAATGCCATTGATGTATCTAATAAGTTTGTGTTTTGGGAAGTAAAATATGACGGACGACCTGCGGCCAATCATAGTGATCAATATTCTTCGTACAACTCTTCCATTAAACATTCCATGTCGTAAGCAACCATGAAATAAAATGTGCAAGAAGTAACATATAAAATCCTGTGTGAAATGTGTTTATTGCATTAACTATAAGAGTTGCCACTGACCTATATCGAACACCGAGAAAATACTGATCGGTCATGCCCGGACAGCGTTTTTGAAAACAAAATGTCCACATGTCCGCCATTTTGAATTAAAATGATGTATAGCAATGTAGAAAAATATGTTGATGTAATTTAAGCACAAAAATGGTTGTTAGTTGGCCTTGCATAATGTATTTGTAAAGTTGAAACGAGATCGGTTCAGGCCTGTGAGGTAATCGAACGCACAGATAAATCATTAAATGCGATTTTGTTTGAATGGGAACTAAACACATCCAGCTTTTATGCAAATCAGTTCATACGTACAGACAATCCCAACCACGTACGCTAATCAGTGTTGCATTTTCACATACATCAACGAGAATAACAAATTACTATTTGACTCCAGTTTTGGTAGATAAGAGTTGATCTGGGTCGTCGGGTTCTTTATAATTGTACTGGTAACAATTTCCATAACGATCGTCATAAAAAGTACGGAAGTCTCTGCATAAAGGGAGGTTAAAAAATCTTACAAAATATGAATCTGCTGTACATAGAGGATGATAAATAACGTGATATCAAAAACGCATGCAAAAGATCAGTATTAGTTTTAATTGACTGCTAACACTGTTTAATTATACAGCTTGTTATAGATCCGCCCATACATATCATCATTGCCCAATCCCGTTATTTTTTTTTTAAATAAACTTACTTTTCCATGTCACACTCTACATCATCAAATGTACAGTCTAAGACAAAATCATTTAGTTGGTGCCCGAGTGTATTCATCTCACCAGTCTGGAGTTTTAGTACAGCTTCCAGATCACTATAATCTGGAGAAGAACTGTATGCGATAAACCCATGCCAGTCTGGTGGATTCTCGCGTACAACTCGACCAAACATATTGTCAGCGTAGTGATGCGTAACAAAGTTTTCGTATAGGTTGCTGTCCGTTGAGAGCGCTGAGTAATTCCGCAAAAGTTCTCCCACATCCGGGACATAAGTTGCACTTGCATCTGATTAAATATAGAGATATGTGTTAGCTTGATACTTGATACATTTGCATGTTATGTTGTTTGCAAATACGCAAGACAGGACTGACTGACTAATACGTATTTTATTACCAATGCTAATAAGGGCATGGGACATGGTTACGGTTGAAACGACAATTCTCTTAGCAATGAGTTACACCGCCTTACCACATGAACTGTTATCATTATTAATTGACTATCAGTTTAGTAAAACTGGCATCAATTTATTTACATCGTCCATGTTTGAGTACAGGAGACAATATGATATATATGTGAAAATATGAATTATGGATTGGGGTGTGCTTACCTTGAAAGCAGTCGTACTCATCACTGGCATCTTCACAATCAACCACGTTATTACACACATACTCACGTTCAACGGTCATTCCAGACGATTGACATACAAATGGACCGACTATAAATAAAACAAAAACACAGATCATCAAAGAAGTACAACGATAACGTTGGATTTGTTCCAGGCATAAAACCAATTTATGGTCACGTAATATTTATAAACGGTATTGTTAACGGGATATTTCAGAGAAAATAGCATAACTTGCCTTCTGTGCTAGCTGGATTTTGTGTAGTGACTGAAATAAACACAAACAGTTAACATACTGCAATCAACATAACACTAACACCAGACATTTCCATAAATCAGTTAACTTAATACAATCTACAGGACACCTCCACCAGGAATTTACCAGCCATTTTAATTCGGTGCGTTCTGCAGACACCAGTATGCGCTTGCATGGCTTGGATTGCATAAAGGTTCCTATTACAGAAAGTTTAAGGAGGCATCTCGCCCAGTACTGTTATATATATACCCTCAGACGTGTCCATCGAATCTAGCATGTCGTGCACTGTTTCACACGCCATTATCAGTAGAATTGTGGGCAAGATAACGGGAGTGGAACACAATGTGAAAGACAAAGACAAGTCCAGTTGGCTTGTTCGTTCTTAACGAGATGACGGTGGTCGTTTTGCATTAAGTCATATTCATATATGAAGAAACCTCGATGTGTTTTTGTTGTTGTGTATACATTACCAGTGCAATTGACTTCATCTGATTCATCGGTACAATCTGCATCGCCATCACAGACATAACTCCTTGGTATAATCTCTCCACTATCGTCACATGTCGCTACAGTCAGAGAACAACACAACTGGTTAGGTTTTAAGTTTTTTAACTACTACATATACAACATGTCGATAAATTTAAATAAATGAATGAATGAATGAATCCATCAATCATATGAATTTAAATTCTTCTTTTTGTATATAATACAGGTTGCCATATTGTTAATAATTGGTATACTAGACAATGAATGACATTTAGTGGACAATTTAGACAATATCGTTATTTTTGTTAAGCAAAAGCTTAGCAAGTAAATTCAACAATCTAAAATATTAAAATAACAAACAGCAACAGATAAACATTACATGTGTTCGTGCCACTGCAAAGTCAATGCCACATGGTTGATCTGCATTATTAACCATGCATATGGGCAATGTATCATGGCAGCGTCAGTGATAACTTGTATTATACCAAACCTTTCACATGTGTACACAGTAAACCAATTAGCCCAGTAGTTTCCATGATACAATTCACATCTTGGCTTGCAACACTTAGTTAAATATGTATTGCAATTCAAATGACTAAGACAAGTGTAACACTCATGATAGCTGTATTTTGTGGCAGCTACCCCCTCCCCAAGTTTGATAAATAGAGCATTGCCCAGTATTCTTCAATCTAACATTGTTGTTAAACCACGCGACCAATCACCACCAAATGTCAAATTGAAATAATCTCTTTATATACACGCTACATGTCAGATTACAGACTAATAGGTTTAAAGGTACTTTAAGCCGAAGATTTAAAAGCATGTAATGCAATATTTGGGAATGAAATGAATTATATTGCGAAAATTCACATTGCGTGCTATACTTGTGTTTACTATATCACCTACCAGAAAACCCGTGGACATAATAAATTTCATTTATTACTCGTTAGACTTAATTACAGATTACAGCCCCGATGGAAACTATTAGAGAATATACCCGGGTCTAAAATGAACACCCTAAGGTAACAATTCTCTAAGAAAAAAGCCCCGACTAAGGGATCACCCCCCAGGATGATCTTGCTGTCGAGGCCACTTCCGTCTCAATTCTCCTATGTTTCCGGCACAGTCACAGGGACATATTTCACTGCTTGTTTGCATAACAAAAGGGGCAGATTACAGTGTATCTGAGCTTCCTAGAAATCTAGTTTCTATGGTTAGGGCTTTCCATTATAAGGGTCCCAAATCTTGCCTGCTTTTGTTGAACCATCAGCTCAGTTTGAGTTCGCCTCGATTCTCGTTTTGGCGGGGTGAATAATCTCGTTTTTCACGAATTCATTTGTTGTTATTTCTTAGATTGCATCAAGCCTAAGTCATTAAAAAAGACTAAAAACGTGCCGACTATCCCTACGGCACATAAGATATGTTTATCTTGCCACTTGGAGATGGCAGTTTGGGACACACACATGTGTTGCACTCATGCTATGGTTGTAAACGGGACTCGGGATTCTCATTCATTGTCGCTCTAAGTCCCCAGCTGCAGCTAGCGATGTGTCTGATTCAATGAGTTGAAAATCTCCCCCTCCCCTTTGACAGAGGGGAACCCAGAGTAGCTACGGTCCGACTCCCTGCTCAATGTGGTGGGGTCAACGACTGAGGTAAGACCTTCTCAGCCGTCCATTCTGAGGTGGCGGAGGTGTCACTCGCTGTCTCCGAGGCGCTGATGGCGGGATTTTCTCCCGTCACGGAGTTAGTTACCCTGTGCGATAGTACCAAGGTGGGCACGCCCTGTTGCTGGGGGAACGAAACTGTCAACCACAGCTGGTACCAACACCAGGATATAGCGTGTTCCTGCTGGGGCGTTGATATTTATGACGAGTACCGAGGTGGGATCTCTACAGCTCTCAGGGCTGAGCTGGTCCAATCCACCAAAACTTCATCGGTGCTTACGCAACCCAGGTTGGTTGTGCAAGTACAGGAACAGACCTTCTTGTCTCTCCCTACCGATGTTAGCCAGGGTGAAAAAGGCTCCTCCCATGGTGACGAGTCGGCTTGGAAGGCTTTGCTGGTTGGCTGGGCTGCCAAAGTGGACTCCCTCCTCTAGTACGGGGTACAACGCAGGAGGACCAGGGGATGATAGTCAGTGGGGGATGGGCCGTGTTGCCCCTCTGTCAGGCATTGGGCCCGATGTGTCTCATCCTTTCTTTGTTCTTTCCTTAAGAGGATAAGAGGAGACAACTCACATTAGTGGGACAGGGGGCGTCAAGTTTCCCACACCTCCCTCAGGCAGGGTGTGAGCAGGTCTCATTGCCTCTGCTTCACCAAGCCACGCAGAGTGCCCCTATTTTTTCTTCTGTGAGGGGAGGGGTCCAGTGTTGGTACCCCTGTGCAGGGTGGTACACAGTGCCCCTGGCGGGCGCAGCTACCACACCCTCAGCAAGGCGGGAGTGTTTTGTTGTCTTTCACACCTTCATTGTTGGGACAAGCACAGGCTACCCAGCCAACCAGAGCCCAGCTGCCTCTTAACAATATGCAGTTAAGGACGCAGCTTATGAACCAAGCAGTGCTTGGCACAAGACTTTTGTTTTGTTTTTGTGGTGATCCCACCTTTCCCCTGATTTAAATCTCTTTTCATCAGCGCTCTCTACTTCCACTGCTGGCATGGAGACTACGCCTTCTGGCCAACTCCCCTGGGCACTTTATGTGACCCAGGCAGTGGAGGGGCTCAGGTGGCATGGAGGGTGGTTATTGGTACCCTTCGAGAGACAAGGACAAGTAGGCTGACCCTTGTTTTGTATCTGTTCTGTCCCATGCCTTCCATTGGGAGAGCCAATACCCCATTGGGGCTATGCAAACCGTCAATAGGATTACACGATCAGTGCCACAGCCTCCTCCACAGGTTCCCCACCGATCCTGAAAGCCCCATTGCATGGTCATTTGACTGGCACCAGAGCCTGCAAGTGCAACTGGGCGCTGAGGGCAGAACTTAGGCCCATCAACTTCATAGAATGGGTTTCCTTGGCTTTGGAGCATTAGCTCGCCATTTTAAGTTTAAGTTCTGGATAAACTCGCAAGCACAAGGCTTTTCTGCAGAGTTTAAGTTCTTCACTTTGGCATAGTCAGGCGGCACCAGACGTTTGTATGAGTACAGATGGAGACTCCATATTGATTGGTGTAATGAAAGAGAGATTGGTCATCTCATGTTCTCTATTAGCGAGGTAGCCAATTTTTCTTGTATTTATTTGATCAGGGAAAATCTATATCAACGATTCTTGGATATCAGTCTTTTTCAGTTTTTTTCCCAGTCTTATCAGAATCTGCTGGACTGAAAGTCTTTTCGCTCGAAGAGGCCGCACGCCAAAGGGCTAACAAGTCCTCCAGACTGGGACTTGCCAGCGCTACAACACCCCCTTGAGCCTATGAGAGAGGCAGACATAAAATATGTCACTATGAAAACCGTTGTTCTCTTGGCTCTGGTTTCAGGTAGGCGGCACTCAGAGATCGGAGCACTGTCCTTCGTGGACGAATGTGCCTCCTTTATGAACTCACAAGTTGTTTTGAAGATTCGAATGGACTTTTTTGCCAAAAATCTGATCTCAGGGCGTGATCCTGAACCAATCGTCATCCCACGCTTACTGAGCCCGGAAGACCGCCGTTTTTTTGTCCTGTCCAAGCTCTGAGTTGGTACTTCGATCACACCACAACGTGTCTTGGGGCAGCGAGAAGCACATGTTTGTTTGTTAATTATGGGTCGGGCAAGCAAAACCACTCTGCCTCGAATATCACCATTTCACAGTGGATTGTCAATACGGTTGTTGAAGCGTACACTTTAGGTGAGGGCACAGAAAGTGCGCGGGTTAGCCAGCTCTTTGGCCTTGGTGTCTGGTGCTTCCCCCAAACAGGTGATTCGGGATGGGTTCTGGAGAACGCCTGAATGTCTTCATTAACTACTAAATTTGCATTTCAGCCGTCGGAGCTTCCCAACCTCCGGTGAGCGTGCCACGGAGTAATAAATAAAATTTATTATTTCCACGGAGTTTCTGGTATGATTATGTAAAGAAACGGGTTTGTACAACCCTTCTAGTTTTTGATAGAATTTATATAAATGCTGCTATATAAAAACAACATCACATCACTGAGACCCCCCAGAAGTATGAAACATGGCGCACTACCGGTTTTTCTTAAATACCAGCATGGTTGTCAAAACAATTACAAACTTTAAT